TAGTACGACGACAAATTACAGGTGTTCCGTAATTTTCTCATCGAACTGTTGATCATACGGTGCAGTCCATTCACTCTGAGTTAATTGTGTCTTGGTATGTAAGCCCCAGGCACCTGGATTTTGACAGACCTCCTGCAATACACAGCATAGTACCGATATGTAATATATATTGTGTGCGGACAGATGACTTGTTAAGAGACAGCAATCAGGGAAATCCGAGCAAAGTTTATAGCATAAAAGTCGCACGACCTTACTCAAACAAATTTGCTCTTTCGCCTTTCGTGTATTAAGTTTTCTAGCCATGATGAAGGAATAGGGGACAGTTTGCAATGACAGATTCAATGTAATACTCCGCTGACTTATGAACTGGCCTCTTGACGCCCTACTGATGAAATTGTAATAGATACAATCATTGCTTGAGCATAGGAAAGCCATAAATATTCACTCATTGCTGATAAAATTGTAACCGTATATTTTTTAATAAAAATGAACATCCCGTTATATAGGGCGGATAGAACAGACTGATACTATAGTGGTCATTTCGAATTGAAATTAATCGAAACGTTCGGTTTACAAGTAAACAGCAGCCTTTAGAGCGAACTCGGCCATTTTAAGGGCTCCATCCGGAGTCCTGTGTTTGACCATGAAGCGGGCGCTGTGGGCAAAAATGCAGCCACTAATACCGACGGCACGGTCCATTTCATAACCTTCTTTGCCAGCCCACGACTCCGGAAATAAAACCCTAAAAACGTTAGATGTATACACAGCTGGGTAAGTAACATAACAAAATACAATTTAGTACTATTTGCTATGGAAATTACCTCCTTCTTACTTTAGTGGTATTAATTAAGAAAGCCTTGTCCCACCGAATGTACGACAGTTCACAGCAGACTGGAAGTAAGCACGGTGACTTGCTTGGGGAATCATTTTCAAGTGGTCATAGACTTGTAATGCATCCACTGCACTGTTCCTTCCATCACCCGTCTACGCTCCGTATTAACACGGAGTCAAGAATACCGGAAGCCCGATCGGGCACAGTCGACTGAATCACAGAACGCCGCTTCCTGGTTCACACCAAACAATTAATTTAGAATTTTGTTGACACAATTGTACAAACGCTTGCGGCATTCGGCGAGATTCGAACCCGCATAGGAGAAGAGGTATTCTACGCTAGCCAACGCCAAACCCACTCGAGCTACGAATGCCACGCTTCACACCGTGAGTTTAATCACACTTGGGTCGATATTACCCGTCCAATTTTGCCGCTCGTCTGAAATCCACCAATACGGAACAGCAACTTGACTGCCCAAGCAGGAGTTCCTAAGCATTCACGTAAAATCCACCAGAATGACCATTAGGCTGACAAAATTATTCAGGAGGTTTGGCAGATTTAGTTAATTTAGTTACCCAATTGCGAAAAAACGCGCAGCATTCGGCCGGCCTGCATGCTTTTACACACTATCTTGGCACAGCCTAGACGAGATCAGTCTTGCAAAGGTTTATGAGAGACAAATGAGGCGCCGGCATCAAATCTGTTTAGTCACTTAGCATTGTAGAACTGAATAGACAGGTATTCAAACACTGCTTAGTTATAAGTGTGAAGTGGAATATCGGCATCCCAAGGAGTACAATTCGGAAGAGGGAGTTCTTTGGAGCACGGGGATTTATTGTGTAAATTTTCGATAAGGGCACACAGGTCGTCGTCGTTAGGGCTAAAAGTGGCAGGGCCATTGTTTCTTATTTTTGCAACTTAGAAGCCCTAAATAGCTGATCACAACGGAGCTCCTTTAATCTGTTGATAATGTGTTTGTGCGAACGAGAAATTTGTTTCTAGGCAGAGATCCAAGAGTTCAAGCACGGCAGATACAGAAGAGTCTTTATCGTAGGAATTGGGTAGTATTTCTGTGTATTGCCGTGCTGAATCCCGACGTATCGACGTGAAAAGAGAGACGACCTCAATGATATTACTTGATGGCCCTACCAGTAGTCAACCCTTATTTGTGGGTACGATGTGTTGATGACACATTTTTCATCGTCAAAACGGACCCGCTCGAAACATTGCACAACACTCTACAATGCCAGGCATCACGTGCACGCTCAAAAGGAAGTTGACAGTTAACTTCCATTTCTTGACATCCTCGTATAGGGGAATACTAGCAAAACACTCCAAACCTCAGTTAACAACAAAAAAGCACACGCGGATATCATGCTACACTACGAGAGAAACCACCATATTGCTCGCAAACGGAGTGGTGTTTCGACCCTTATCAATCAAACAAGAACGCATTGTTCTAGCCCCGAACTCTACCAAGCCGAACTCAACAATCTGTTC